TCTTATCTGATTATATTCTCCACTTTTTGGGATAATAGAAAAGAGCCCTAAACTATGAGAAGAGACATTAAAATAGTAAAAATAAATAAATAAATAAAAGATCAAACAGAAGCAAAAGCACTCCAATCAGTCAGAATGTTTGAGAAATGTGAACAGAGGTCAGCTCTCAGAAGGGCAGAGAGGAAGCCACAGCATTAATAGTGTTTGGGATCCTCTTCTCACTGTGGAGAGTTTGTTGGGCAAACAGAAGTTTATTTTTATTGAAAACTCTTGAGGGAAATATTTCATCTCCCCAACTTATGGGTGTATTTTTTCTTAGGAAGTATTTTGAAAAAAATTTTTATTTTTAATTCGTTTGTGAAATTCTTAACTTTTTCTCTACTGAATTTGTTTCCCTATTTTAAACCGCCACAAATTTCAGGTATTATGTACATATTGTAGATTTCAATTATGTGCTTTCACAGCTATTTTCTGTTCCTTAGCACTTCTTCCTTTCCAGGAAGTATACAAAATCTGTTTAGCATAATTGTTTCATCCTCAATTATGAAACAGCAATATCTTCTGTTAGTTCGCACGTACTTTGGAGTTATAATTGAAAATACTTTCTTTGATAGGTTACAGAATTTTGTTTCATTTATGTCCTTTTGTCATAGGTTGTTTGAAATTAGGCTGTCATAAAATTATTAGAATTACCTGTGACCAGTTCACTTTTAGTAAATAATTTTATTGCTTTGTGTGTCCTAACATTGATAAGATCATGCTGGGGAGATTCATAACTCTGTTTGGTATTAGTACTAGTTTTAGTGTACTATCCTGTATTTAACGTGAAACATTTATTAATGAGTTATAATGAATTGAATACTTATGGTTCTTTATAGATATGTCTCATGTACATGTAATCAAGAAATTACAATTAAAGGCAAACATCAATAGAGAATTATTCCAAACAGCGATGACAGAAAGACATGAAAGGACTGAAAGAAAACATTGTGACCCCAGGAGCATCCAGGAAAATGCATATGACAGTGACTCTCAGCAGAGAGATGAGGAAAGAAATTACAAAGGAACGTCTGTAAACGGTAGTGGAAATGTGCGTGATGAGAGAGACCAACATGGCACAAGTGGTGCAGGAACCGAGCCCAGGGGAAACAGACTTGCATTAAGCTTTCAGAATGAACT